ATCAGAGATGGGGTAACTGCTAACACTGCCAAGTGTGGTCTCCTCCGGGAAAGAGAAGGTGGAGAGAGCTTGGGAAACAAAGAAGGTTGCTTCTGTTTTGTTTCTCGTTATTATCGTCTTGGAACTATTTAACTATTCAATTATTAAAACTACTTGCAAGTAATACTTTCAGCAAAGCAAACATCAATAAAAATTAAATTAAGAAAAAAGCAACCCAACATTTCTGAAGTCTCAAGACACCTCTGCTGGGCTGGCGTCACCAATAAACAGCCACCTGGTAAAATATTAAAGTCACATCCCTCCGTGGAATCCAAAATGAGAGGTGTGACTTCAGATTCACCACATCGTATTGAACAGTAACTTCAGTAAACATACTAATACTTCCTAAGTGATTAACGGGTATCAGCATCACACATCAGAAACGTGTCACTGCAAATTCCTTATCAGTTTGGTTTCTGCCGCCACGTGGACCTAGAGGGGAGGTAAGTGTTGTGGGAGAAGGAAGGTGGACAGCTCAGGGTAGGTTCCTGAGGGTCACAGGTGGGGCTGGTCTGTCTGCCAGGTGCACAGGGCTGGGGGATCCGCAGCCTCGGGGCCACATGTGGCCTTTGGGATCCTTGAGTGCAGCCTTTTGACGGAATCCAAATTTTACAGAGCAAATCCTTTTAATAAGAATAGGAGGAGCTTCAATAAAATGCAGAAATCAGGGTGAAAAGGGTATGGGAGAACACGGAGGCTCTCGGATTCAGACTTAAATGACCAAGGATGTACGGGAGAGCCTCGAGCTTACAGCAAATTCTATTTTTAATTAAATCATAATCTAGATAGATATAATCTAGATAGATATTCTTTGGCACAGAGTTTACTGCTTTTTAAATTGATTTATGTTTTGTCTCCAAGAATATTCTTCTTTCATCAGCCTTGTTGAATTTGCACTTTTCAGAAAGGGTTGGATCTTCATTACTTCAAATCAGAGCCTCTAATTTCCCTGGTAAAACTTGCAGTATAGTCACAGGTGAGTCTGTTTCGCCTTCCCCACCCAGCATTCCATGCTCCCCGGAAGGCCAAGTTTCCAAACAGGAGGGATCAACAGACAGCCTCTATTTGTCTCCTCTACCTGGAGTGCCTGCAGCTCGTGTGATGCAAGTGTCTCCTGGATTCCAGCTGCAAGAACAATGATGCCATCTGTTCATGTGTGGGTCACCAGCCAGCAGATGGGAAACTTGGGTAAGCTTGCTTTTCTATTCTGAGATTGACCCCAAACGGGAAGGTTCATATTCTCTCTCTCTCCAGTACTGAAAAAGCACTTTTTGTGTTTGATTGGTATTGAAGTTCTAAAAGGCACTTATTTTATAAATGAAATAAAAAGAGTTGTTAGTCTCTACATGCTGCTGCTTTAAGACCCGTGGGCAGGTGTTTGGGTTTGGAGCGGGAAGGGCAGCCATGTTCAGGAGTCTGCAGAGGCCTGGGGAAGGCCAGAGACAGGGGACTGAGAAGAACGGTGACACCTGTGCCTTTGTGTCTTAGTTCTGCCCTCAGAACAGCTTGGCAATCCTGCCAAAGAAGAGTCAACTTGCCAGATGCAAATAGTGCCCTCGCCCCCCCTGCTTATCCCACATTCTCTGCTTTATCAGCTGGTGAACACAGACATTCGAAATTTTTATTTCCTGAGGCCCAGCCTCCCCGGGTCTGTCTGTGAAGAGTCTTGACCCTGATGCGGCTGTAAGGATTCTTCACGACTCTTACTTGTGCCCAGGAGAAATCTGTCCTCAGCTTTTAGCTCATTTCCCCTCAGGAATCACCACCTTGTCACCTGCAGGTTGGTCACTCTTGGGATGTAAACATTCTCCTTTGTGTTACGATCCCTGTGGACAGAGAGGAGGGTCTGGTTCGAGCCTTCAAGCACTGAGGGTCTTATGATGTGGCTCTTCCATGCTCCACTGAGCCTGCTTGGCCAAGTCCAACTTTTCAACATTGTGCAAAGCCACCTTGTGAATGAACTACCAGCTTTGATGGTCTGGGGTCTAGAGGAGCTCCGCTGCCAGTGCTGAGGTGAGGATTGCAGGGACACAGGCAGGTGGCGGCCAGGCCAGCCGACCAGTCCATGGCATGACTGCTGCTTCCATTAGGCTGAGTATTTGGGCCACCCCAGGAGCCTCTGCTGCCTTCTCGCTGTGACTTCCCACAATGGGGGAGAATCCTCCTTCTTTCTGCATTATATCTACCCAAGGTGTGTCCCATGTGACATTTCTGAGGTCCCCACGGTCACCTCACTCCACTGTGCCTAGATGTACTCTGCTAAAATGAGCGGGTCAGGACAATGCTGGTCTCACTGTGCTTAGAAAGAACTTTGGCCCTCATCTGCTCAAGACCTTTTGATTTCCAGTAAATCTTATGCTGTGATGCGATATTTTACCTCTGCCAGCTGGTTCCATGTGTCCCCGACTTCTCATGTCTAACAACCATGTCTTCAGGTGCCTAAGCACCATGCCACAGTGGGAGACAGGTTTTCATAAACCTAAGTGTCCAGCTCAAAAATCAGAAACACACACATACACGCGTGACCCAACTCTGCTGCTGGAAACCCTCAAATCAAATAGACTAGGACGGCAGAAGGTGGTCTGATGTGTAACCTTTTCTGTGGAAAAAGGAGGAGGGAAATTATTTCCGATTCTCATCTTCTCAGGACACTGGAGTTCCAAGAGTAATTCTGTTGCCACTATCAACACTGAAACTGTAAGCTTGATATGTCCACATTTTGTTATGGTTTATTGTTTACGAAGTTATGGAGAAAACAGCCTAAATTCAGACATTTAAACATTTCTCTAAAAATCGAACGGCATCGATTTTGATGCTTTTTAAGAACAATACTTTCTATGTAACTATCTTTCTGTCCATCATCATGAATTTCAAGTTATTCTGATGTTATTTCTGTGTTAAATCTAATCTGTGACATCCCCCGGTGGACATGCTTGGTTAATAATCAAGGTGGTCACTCCTTTTACATACCCACAAAGCCCTGCAATATTTTTATTAAATTCAGGTAGAGTTAGGCAGTGAAATGCAGGTGCCTGGGACAGTCTCGACCCAGCTCCTCCACATACATCATCACCCATGAACAGGTTATCTTTGTTTAAATGTGTTTGGTATTGAGATATGGTTTAAAAATATGCCCAAAGGATAAAAGTCTTGCTCCATTAAAAGCTAATTCACAAATTTCTTTTTCTTCTCCCCTCCCCTTGAAATAGGTATGTAGAATATGGACGTTTAAAGACCAGCCTTAGCATGTCGACGCCTGTGTAATGAGTAGAACTTCTTGTCTGGATATGAGCTTCCCGGGATGTGAGGGTAGTGCTGACGGGAGGTGAACGCAGGAAATACCACTGCATGTATTCAGTGCTGTAAGTTGCAGTCTAAGCTGATGAAAATTGGTTTGCTTTATGGAATTTAAATGAATTTCAATCTTCATGTCTCCTTACTGAGAATGGAAAAAATTATTTCTCTCGGAGCTTAGAAACATGTAACGTTTGTCATTATGAAGGAGGGGTGCAGGCCTATCTTAGGATTTTGGAGGAAATTGTGCTGGGTCGGTTCCTGGGGAATTGGGGAGACAGCAGCCTGAACATGATGCCACATTAACAGCGGGCCATGCCGTAGGCTCCCGCCCTCGGTGCCCTCTAAAGATACAGGGTAGAGTGGGATGAACCCAGTGTTGCAACCTGGCTTCTTTAAAGGGAATCCTGTGAGCAGCTCAGAGGAGCTGCAGAAAAGCCAGTGGGAGTGAGAGGCTGGCTGGCTGCTGTGGCTCATCTCTTGCCAGTTGTGTGATTTTAGGTAACTTATTTAACATCTCAAAATTCAATTTCATCACCAACAGTTCATCATTTTGTTTGTTTCTGATTTATTTTCAAGGACAGAGTTTCCTGATTTTTGTGTAGTAAAACATATCATGTTTTTATTTTATACTTAGTCTTCTGGGTTTTTTTTTAAGGTCTTGTTTAAGAATTTTTTTTTTTTTTTTTGCAGTTTTTGGCTGGGGCCGGGTTTGAACCTGGTATATGGGGCTGGTGCCCTACTCCTTTGAGCCACAGGTGCCGTCCTTTTAAGAAATCTTTTCCTGGGTAGAAGAGATGATGAGGAAATCCTCACATAGTATTTTCTAAAAGCCTTAACATTTGTTTTTAATATAAGATCTATATTCAGTCTAGAGCGAATTTCTGGGCAAATTGTAACAGATAATTTCATTTTTCCCCATATGTGTGTGTAATTGTCACAACACCTGTCTCAGTCTCCTGTGTGTGCTGCTGTAGATGAATGACTGACACTGGGTGATTTGTAATGCACAGAAATTTATTGGCTCACATATCTGGAGGCTGGAAAGGCCAAGGTTGCAGGGCTGGTGTCTGGTGGGGGCCTTCATGCTGCATCAGCCCAGGGTGGAAGGGCAAGGAGAGGGAGAGAGAACAAGAGGGGGGCCAACTCCTGCTTTTTATTTGTTTTTTTGAGACAAGAGTTGCACTTTGTCACCCTCGGTATAGTGTCATGTTGTCACAACTCACAGCAACCTCAAACTCTTGGGCTTAAGCAATTCTCTTGCCTCAGGCTCTGAAGTAGCTGGGACTACAGGAGCCCAGCACAACACCCAGCTATTTTTTTGAGATGAAGGTCTTGCTCTTGCCCAGGCTGGTCTGGAACCTGTGAGCTCAGGCGAGCTTCCTGTCTTGGCCTCCCCAGTGCAGGGATTGCAGGTGTGAACTACCGCACCCGGCCCTCCAACTCCTGCTTTTATAAGGAACTCACTTCAGTGCTAACAAACTCAGTCCTGAAATACTGGCATTAATCTATTCACAAGGGCAGAACCCACATCCCCTAACCACCTCTTAGAGGTCTCACCTCCACATACTGTCACAATAACCACTAAAGTTTAGCCTGAGTTTGGGTGGGGACACACACTTAAACCACGGCAGTACCGTATCTTCATTCATTTATTATTATTATTTTTAAAATTAGAATGCCTTATGAATTTGCGTGTCATCCTTGCACAGGGGCCATGCTAATCTTCCCTGCATCAGTCCAACTTGAGTATATGTGCTGCCAAAGCGAGCACGTATCCTAAATCATGTCTTTATTTAACGATAGAGTCATTGGAAATCTTTCCTTTACCTCTGTGGTCCCTAAACCCTGGCTGCAGACAGATTCCAGTCCTCAGCCTTTTGTGAACCGTGGACAGGGTGGGGGACAGCATCACCACTGGAGCTCTGCTTCCTCTCCTATCCTCCCACTCTCACCCCACTCTGTGGAAAAACTGTCTTCCATGAAAACAGTCCCTGGTGCCAAAAAGGTTGGAGACTGCTGCTTTACCCTGCCGTTCTGAAGTGACACCTTGAGGACTTATCAAATGACCACAGGGTTGGAGGCTGATGCTGAGTTCTGCAATTTCCTCCATTACATCAGTATCATTCTCTTTTAATGAATTTTAATATCTGGTACAGCAAGGCCTCATGTCTTGGTTTTCTGTTTCTTCAAAATAGCCTTGTATTTTCATGACCTTTCCCCCTATGAATAACATATTACCTGCTCAGATTACAAGCACACACATACAAAGAGAATGGTTTGGAACCCTGTCTAGAACTATATTGAATGTACAACTGAATTTGGGGTGATTTGATATCTTTACAATATTGAGTCTTCTCAGCCAAGGACACAATATAATGCATTTCCATAGGTCTTCTCGAATATTTTACAAAGGAACTCTATAGTTTTCTCAGTGGAGAGAGAAAATGTTACTATTTTTACTACTATTTTTAATATTTTTTACTATTACTATAGCTTTTACTATTGCTAAATATTTGAAAATTCTGATACAATAAAATATTTTTATGCGAAATATACCCTACCTACAAAAGAAGCTTGTCAGCCAATGGTGTAAAGCTGATGGATCTCAGCAGGTGCACACGTGCACCATCAGCGCCAGACCCGGAGGACTCCCTGCACGCCTCTGGGTCCCTATTCCATTTCTCCCCCCGCAGTCGATCTCCGTAGCCTATTCAGTTAGTGTCTTGAACGGTCAGTGCAGGTACTGGGGTCCGCTAGCCAATTTCCCACAGAGATTTGGTAAGATTAATTGTCCAGATCAAATTTTATCACTAGGTAGGCACTTTTCCTTAAAAACAAATTCACAAAAAAATGGTATGGCATATAAAAATAGTTTCGGGATATGACTGCCAAGGCTCGTGATGGGAGCCGACACAGCGGCAGCTGGGACCGGAAGCAGAATGGGTTGCTGTGGAGGAGCGTTTCCTACTTCGACAGAACTGCAGGGCCGGACCGGCTGCCAGGAGCAAGCTGAGCGACCTGAAGGCTGCAGATGAAGTGGCACAGGATGTGGGACCAGACAGCGGGGACCTGGGTGGGGACGCGCATTAACACCCATCCACCTCTCAATCATGCCAATTGCAGCAGTTGTTTCTCTACTGGTTCCAACACAGAAAAAAGAAAATATTCCATCTACTTGCATTTTCCAACATAATTTTTGGAATCTCATTCCTTGTTCCCAGAAAAACTTTCCAATCTAGTTATTCTTCATTTCAGATTCAGGAGGAATGATATGGGTAGTGTAAGAACTAATAATGATAATAAAGAATAATTTCATAGATAGGATGGCTTAAAAAGCAAAAGGGATATTTTCACAGCTCTGCACCATCTGATATATTCGACTATGAGAAAAGAAAGTCGGAATCTATCTGCTCTTTGTTGGTTTCATCCCTACTTTTTGTTTTAAATAAAACAAACATGGGGTCAGAGAAAAAATTTAAACTGTGACTTTCTAACTAATACTATAAAATATCTTAGACGCTGGTCTCCAAAATAATTATTCCCGTGCCAATTTGGATTCACTTGCTATCCTAATTGGGAGATAAACTAATTAAAGGATATAATATCAATTATATTGGCCAACATAGAAAAGAATTCTAGAAGTTTCATCCAATCTCACTCAATATTGCAACTTATTTACTTTAATAGATTTGGGCAAATTAGTTCCTTAATTATCTCCTGTAATTGACATCAGTGTAAGCAATAGCCCTTCACAAACAATGGCCTTAATGGCTCCATGCTTCTGTGGAGATGTTTCTGTTGAGATCATGACACGGAGCTCTTCCGGGATGACCCTGAGAATCGAGACACTCTTTTGAATGTTCCTCGGTAACAGTAAATTTTCATCATCAGAGTGAGCTGGAGATCTCTAAAGACCCCAAGAGGCATAACACCAAAACCAGCCGTGCTGGATAGTGAGGACAATCAGGCCAAACGGAATGGATTGCTTTGGTTTAGGAAAACTGGGCAGATACAAGTGATGAACCCAAGGTTTTTATTGTGTGGTTTGTGTACTGTTGCACAAAGATTCTATTCTGAGCTAATTTTTAAATCTGTTTAGTACAATAGCAGCCTCATTTGAATAACTATAGAGCTTCCAAGTGAGTGTTTTAAAGGATACCTATTCAGAAGCTACTTCACTTAGAAAAAATATTTCTCTAAGAAATATTGTTGATAATAAGGATAGTAGCAGACCGTGTGCTGGGAGCTTGGATCTGCAGAATTGGGGAGGTCAGTGTGTGAATCACTTGAGATGCAGTTTGGAAGCGTTTCCCTAATTGCTTCTGTCTCAAGGTTGTGTCAGTTTCAGCTGAACTCCACCCTGGGCTAGGAAGTACCTTGGACAGCAGCAGCAAGGCCTCATTTTCACGGGACTTTCTTTCCTAACCTTTTGAGTGCTGTTTCAACGTGTGAGAAATAAAAGCTCTTACACTGAGAAGAGACATTAAAACAACTTCTCAAACTCCCTTCCCTGTGTGATCACTTTTAATAAAATCCACAGGAACACTTCTGAGAGGTTCACACAATTTGAACTCAAATTAAAGGCAGATCTCTATTAAGTGAACTCTTAGTCTGAGGACATTATAGTTAATTAAAACGTCACCTTTTCTATGTTACCATGAAAGGAAATTGGTATACCACGCAGTCGCTGGCATTAATGAGTTAGGACTCTCTGCAAATAAATTTTGCCCTAATTTTTTAAGACTAAACTTAACACCAACATTTATGGGCATAATTCATTCAGAGAATGTTCTTTTCAGAGAAAAAAAATTATGTCCTGTGCACTTTCAGGATAATTGAAAAGCTTATTTTGTGTAGAGATTAAATGTAGATAAAGCAATTTATTTTCCCTATATTGTTTGGAATAAGCAGTTTACAGTTTTCTGTAAAAGATAATCCCACAATTTATAATCTAGACATTTTATTATTAGACTTTACTAGGCTTTAATAAAATGAACTGGACATTTTGTAGTTATCCTTTCCTTTGCTAAGGTCTTTAATGCTTCCCAATCCCTGCCCCAGAGTGACCTTTGTAAGGAAGTTGGCTGGTTGTCATGGAGTACGCGTTAGAGCCAGAACCCCAATTGACAGCATCAAGAGTTGTGTGACCTACAGGCTCACCTCAAATGGAATCTCTTAAATGAATTGCACTCCAGTTGACTCTGGGCTTCCAATTCAAAATGAATACATTATACTTCAAGTAGATGGAAAGACAATGGACAAAGAGTATTCCTACTAAAGGTTTTTTAAATTTTGAGATGGGGAATTTTGATTGATGTTGATATAAATAAACCATACAGATACATGCACGTTTCTTTAAAAATTAAACTTAGAAGAGAATTCCTGAATGAGTGGTTTAGTAATGTGCCCATCTCACATGTGTGTTGGGCCGTCAGCTGTAAATAAAACACCTCAGTAATATGTTAACATAGGTAAGATTACTCATGTAAATAATGTCTGTAGCATTCTTACTTTACAGAAAAAAATAAAGTTCTGCATAAAATTTTCTCAGGTCCACACACTTAATTAGTATATATTGTTAGCCCTAAAGGATTTTACAAAGTAAAAGTGTAGATTTTTTGAAGAAACTATTAGTTCTTAACAAATAATTTCTTTTTAGTTTTGACATGCCAAGTATAGCGTATGATAAATAAGTTTATTAATCCTCTTAAACTTCAATACCTGGGGAAGCATTTAGATTCAGAATGTGAAGTGCCAATCATTCAGAAAGAACACATATTTCTCTAAGGAGTTGCCTCACGAATAAAATAAAAAATTATCTCATTACTGTATAAATTATCCAGGGTACAGCAAACAACAGAACACTAAGGCTGTCAGGAGGTGAGGTTATAAGGGTCAAACAGGTGTTCATTCCCAATGTAGACAAGTGAAGAACTTTGGCAGAGCTGAGTCCCCAAGGTCAGGAGGGGATGGGGCTTCTCGATCCAGGAGGTTAAGTCAAAAAACAGGGAAGTTCTTCTTCAATCAGAGCAATTTTTTTCTTGCACATTACTTTAATACATTGGTATTAAATTTGTCTTCCTTTGAAAAATAGATTACATATTGATTTAATTCTTCCATTGCACTTAGATACTGAGGATATATTGAGGTAGGAGAGAAACCAGGACTTCTGCCTTCCTGGAGCTGAGAAGGTCCAGTTTGTGATGGGGTCTCGGTGGTGAGAAGGCAGAGTAGAGGGTTTCATCCTAGGGGAAGGACACTGTGCTCTGAGAGTGAAGAGAAGCCTGAACCTGGTCTTATGTGTTGGGAAGATGTGGGTGCCGAGGCGAGTATCCTAGAGGAAGCTGTTGAGCTGGGATAAGAAGGGTCATAAGTTAAGTTCAGCGGAGAGTGAGGGTGAATGCCACAAGAAATGGGAACAGCAAGGGAGAGGGCAGGAGAGAATGGTTTGGGGCAAACTGAATGAATTTCAGTGTGGCTAGACCCTAGAATATGTTGAGGTTGGTGGCTGAAGAGTTTTAGGGACACTGGCTCAGGATGGAGGGATTGGTAAGAAAACAGGCCGTAGGGTCAGGGAAATTTGAACTCAAAGTGCAGTGGCTCCCTCTGGAAGACTTTTAAGCAGGAGGGTAACACAATTAGAATTGAATTCTACAAGCTCATTCTTTCATTCTTTCTATATGATCCTTCTAATATTTGAAGGCAGCTATGTGCTTCATTGTCATCTCTTCAACCTTCAAGTGGGAGGGTTTCTAGAACTTTCATCAACAT